ATCTTCTACAGCTATCTTTTATCATTTATCCGTTGTATTTGATTAAATAAAATAAAACAAAAATAGTAAATTATCAATGGCTCACGCAATAACCAATTGTTGGACATAGATAGCCTATATAGCTTTGTCCTAAAAAACCCTTTAAAATAGCAAGAACAATCTAGATGTCATGCTAATGAACATACTCTGTACTGTTTTCTTTGGACACGCTGTAAAAATGATATTCTAACAAGGTCCTTGTTTCGGTTAGTGCTGCTGATTGGCCAATTCATAATTAGGGACTGTTATGTACTTAAACCGAAGGTATACCCGACTGGGCCGTTTGGGCCAATGGTTCCCAATCTGTATTAGGGTACGCAATAAAATAAACTTAACTCCTCAGATCAGCCTCGGTGAGTTATCAGTGTTTGTTTGTTTTTGAAGTTAAGCACAAAGCAACACAATGGGCTATCTGTGCTCTGCCCACCACGAGTATCGAAACCCGGATTCTAGCGTTGTAAGTCCGCAGACATACTGGGGGGGGGGGGTAGTTACCAATGTATTGCACTACTTGGCGTTCGTATATTGTTGACTCACCCTTGAATTATTTCTCTTGATTTACCTTTTTATTAGTATAAACAATTTTTAATTCACTAAACAAATCATATACGTAATTTGTATACCTCTTTCTCAAAGGTTGACTTGAATTATGCGGAATATAAAAGTTTTGAACCATTAGTGTAGGTTATTCGTACGTATAAAGTGCCGTTCAGGTTTAAAATACTGCTACGTCTCCGTTCGTTAGTTAATTTTCCGTAAATTCGTTCCGACGAAACTTTACCGACACAAGTCCTTTCTTAAATAAAACTGGTTTATTCTTTCTAAATACAACTTTGCGATACACTTAATTTCAACAGTCGCGCTATAACAAACGCTATAATTCACAACGAACCTCTCACGTGCTCAACAATATTCTCTCTCCGCAGTTCAATTACACATTACTTCGCCTTAGTTCTTACTGGTTTATATATATACAAGACTACACATATCTAGTAAACGCTAGATCATTCATGAAGGAACAGGATATTTCTAGAAGTCAGTGACGTGTTACTAGAGTCACGTGACCCCGATGTCGTAACAATACCAATTTTACTGAAATTAGTGTCATTGCAACAGTACTTGGCATTGTTTATTACTGTTATGTACATACTGAATGCTGTTTATTTCAGTAGTTTAGATAGTGTTTTGATTTGTGAATTTTTTAACATAATCCATAGTTTACAGCTATTATTGTGGAGTCTTTTGTTTGTGTAGTTTTTCCTGATTCAGGATTATATATGAAATTCTTATCATTTAAATTATGTTTATTTAAAGAGGTACATCTAAGGTAGTTCAGTCTCAGTCTTTATTTTATATTAAATAAAACATGAATTTTGATGTCCTTTTTTGCACCAGTAAAAGCTTTTGTTCATAACGTTTTTGTAAATGGGGCTAATAATAATAAACAAGGTTGCTACATTTTATGATAATCGCATATATGTATATATCGTGAACGTAATAGAACTAAAATTTTCAACCTGAACAGCATATAAAACGTGCATGGGTTAAACAGTCAAGACAAGATCTTTAGGACTCGGGTATAGTCATCCTATTCTGATCAGAAGGAAGGCAGGCAGTCAGGAACACCCACCTCCACAAGGTCTTTTCCCATATATTTTGACTGAATAACGCAATTGACTGGATCTTTTATAACACATCCACAGCTAAAAGTACAAAGCATGTTCTTGTCCTCGATGCATATTCCGCCCGACATGATAACAACTTAGATTATATTGTGGTTACGTATTTAACACAATGTTGGTATAAAATCGATCCTCAGTGATTCTTTGTTTTTTACTATATACATGTATGATCCCTTGTTTGTAACTATATCAGAACACTGAGGTCTTCGTTCCACCTGAACAATCTATTTTTCGTAGCTATGTAGAAATACATTGAGTTGCCTTAACGATCTGTTGTTTGTAACTATATAGGAGCAAGAAGCTCTTTGTTTTACCTGAAGGATCCCTTCTTTGTAACTATATGAAATATATTGAGTTGCCTTAACGATCTGTTGTTTGTAATTATATAGGAGCAAGAAGCTCTTTGTTTTACCTGAAGGATCCCTTCTTTGTAACTATATGAAATAAATTGCGTTGCCTTAACGATCTGTTGTTTGTAACTATATGGGAGCAAGAAGCTCTTTGTTTTACCTGAAGGATCTCTTCTTTGTAACTATATAGAAATACATTGAGTTGCCTTAACGATCTGTTGTTTGTAACTATATAGAAGCAAGAAGCTCTTTGTTTTACCTGAAGGATTCCTTCTTTGTAACTATATGAAATAAATTGAGTTGCCTTAACGATCTGTTGTTTGTAACTATATAGGAGCAAGACGCTCTTTGTTTTACCTGAAGGATTCCTTCTTTGTAACTATATGAAATGCATTGAGCTGCCTGAACGATCTTGTCTATGTAACTATATAAGAACACTCAGCTCTTTGTTCCACCTTAGTGATCTCATTCGAGTGTTCTTATATAGTTACAAAGATGAGATCACTAAGGTGGAACAAAGAGCTGAGTGTTCTTATATAGTTACAAAAGCTCTTTGTTCCACCTTAGTGATCTCTTGTTTGTAACTACATAGGAAAACTGAGCTCTTTGTTCCACCTTAGTGATCTCTTGTTTGTAACTATATAGAAACATTAAACTGGTCTCCCCACTTAAATGACCCCTTGTTTGTTGTTATAAAAAACAACGAGCTCTTCGTCTCATAGCAAAATAACAAACAAACAAGAAAAACAAACGTATACCTACAACTTATTTTATTAGAAGGTTCAGAACTAAGGAACGCCACGATTCTTTTGCAAGAGAAGTTCCAAGCTGAGATGAGTATGATGAGGCCCATTATCCTGGGGATCTATCATTCACACTGAGCGCTGAGAAGAGTATGATGAGGCCCATTATCCTGGGGATCTATCATTCACACTGAGCGCTGAGAAGAGTATGATGAGGCCCATTATCCTGGGGATCTATCATTCACACTGAGCGCTGAGAAGAGTATGATGAGGCCCATTATCCTGGGGATCTATCATTCACACTGAGCGCTGAGAAGAGTATAATGAGGCCCATTATCCTGGAGATCTATCATTCACACTGAGCGCTGAGAAGAGTATGATGAGGCCCATTATCCTGGGGATCTATCATTCACACTGAGCGCTGAGAAGAGTTTGATGAGGCCCATTATCACGGGGATCTATCATTCACACTGAGCGCTGAGAAGAGTTTGATGAGGCCCATTTTCCTGGGGATCTATCATTCACACTGAGCTTATGATTAAATAAAAGTAGAAAAGAATGGCGAAATCTTGTCTTTATTATTTTATGGCGATCTCTGACATCTTTTTGTCGCTTTTTAGGCCTGCCCCCAGTGGCACAGCAGTATGTCTGCGGACTTAGGAAGCTAGAAACCGGGTTTCGATACCCGTGGTTGGCAGATCACAGACAGCCCATTGTGTAGCTTTGTGCTTAATTACAAACAAATTTTTAGTCCTATTGACCAATATCTATTAACGAAGAATATTTTAAAGATATGATGTGTTTTTTTCGTTCTTTTTAAACTTTGACATATTTTCTTTTACTTATTTTACGTTCTACAAGTATTTGCCCTTTTTTCACTTCCGCTTTTGACATTATTACAGAAAACTAATTCAACTTTATGGGTCTTAAAATACATGCTAATCGGTGACTTAATCGATATCAGTTTTTATTCATAACAAATACACGACTTTATTTTCTATACAACATACGATATCCTTCTAAATGAGGCTGGTGATGGGCGCTCGCCTCGCAATCTGTGGGTAGCAAGTTCGAATCCCTCACCGAATACGCTGTGACGATCAATTCTACTTTTCGTTGATAAAAGTTTGTTTGTTATGGATTTTGCGCAAAGATACACGAGGGCTATCTGCACTAGCCGTCCCTAATTTAGCAGTGTAAGACTAGAGGGAAGGCAGCTAGGCATCACCACCCATCGCCAACTCTTTTACCAACGAATAGTGGGATTGACCGTCACATTATAACGCCCCCACGGCTGAAAAGGCTAGCATGTTTGGTGGAACTGGGATTCGAACCCGCAGATTGCGAGTCGAGCGCCCTAACCACCTGGCCATGCTGGGCCTCGTTGATAAAAGAGTAGCCCAAGAGTTAGCGATGGGTGATATTTATTAGCTATCTTCCCTCTGGTTTATCACTCGGCTAGTGAAGATAGCCTTCGCAGGCCCGTACGCAGAATGTTGGAAAGGGGGGTTTTCTAATTGTGAGATAAAAAGCCAACAAATATTGTGCGAAGCACAATTAGCATTGAAAGCATGCTAATGCTATGGGGGTTTAATGCATCATCAGAAGAATGCAGACTATGTAGAAAACGTTAAATACCATAAGCAGCTGAGATATAACTATATAAGCATATTATTTTTACATCACAAAAATAGGGGGTTCGGCTGAAATGGTCCTGCGTGCTTGGAGTAGCTTTTTGTGAAATTCAAGGACAAACAAACCTTTGCAATAGTATTTTCAAATATTTAGTAATAAATGTGTTTATTTCCGCTCATTTATTTCAAATTACGAGGATTCATTTTCTTGTGGTTTAACTTCTATATGATTTCATTAATAGCTTTGATCAAAAGTAAGCTGAACATACAAAACACTAAAAAACCGAAATAAAACATTAGGTTGCTTTGTATCCATTTACGCATTTGTTTTATTTCGCAACTTGCAAACGTATAAAACCTGTTTTCAAAAACACCTAATTTATTTTCATTTTGGCAGAACAGACTATATTATAACTGTTCTGTATGACGTCAACCGTAAGTACTGTACGAGTACACAGATAGCTCTGCGGGAGTGGCGTTTCCCTTGGAAACACGACACAGGATTGTTGTTGTAGCAACAGTGCAAGGTGTACCCGTGCATAGTGATCACCTTTTACTTCTATCCATTACCTCACGCAAAGGCCACATTGAATTACAGAATCCAAAATTTTCGATAGCGAGGTGCACGCTGTACAAAGGGTGAATTAGTGGGCAAAAAGGAGAGATGTGCTACGATCTGAAACAATTTGTCCACACTAATGTCCAGTGCTACTAGTTTGGAAGAACTTTAAAAATTGAAACTAATAACTTGTAGATGAGAAAGTGAACACCATGGATGTGGCCGAAGAGAGAAGCCTTTCAGCCGTAGGTTCAGTCACGTGCCCATCATGTAAGATTTCTGTGGTTCCAAGCTCCCGGTCGAGGACTATGTGTCCATTTTGTGGGAGCTTCTATAACCAGGCAGCCAACAATAACTTGGCACTTCGACAGCGTCAGGACCGATCAGAAGAACCAGTTCACTTTCCAAACATCGTAAGTTTACATCTTATTGTTTGAAACAAACCTACGTAGAATTTTGATTTCAATATAACCTAAAGTACTTATAAGTACTGGATTTATATATATATATATCAAACGTGTTTTCGTAGCTTTACCAACATAAACTTTGCTATATTTTTCTAGTTCAACAGGGTTTATTTCTAGGCGTTTCGGTAAATAAGATAAAGTAGCGTACTTTAATGTTATATCTCATAGGTTTTGAACATGTAACATTACATTACAACTAGTAACAACTATTACATTTATTCTGTGTTTGTTTCTTTGGGTTCGCTCCATATTGCTTTTTCAAATTGACTTCAATTAGTTAACTACAAATAAAAAAATAATTTAGAATACTTTTATTTCAATGATTTTATTACGACATAAAACAGAAAAAATATGTAGAGTATTCTCTTTTCATCTTGGTATCCATAAGCATGTCTTCCTACACTTATAACACGTGCCTATATCTCCGATATTAGCAGAACTAATAACAGGAAACTTGCATCGTATAAAATATAAGTTGTCACGTCTTGTATGACAAGAGTTTTTAGTTGCTTTTCGATTAATTTTTATTATAATTTAAACTAACCCTTATAAACGAAGTTGAACGTTGACAGGTCTAAAAGGACATTAGGTAAGAGGAATACTGTAATTTGACCTTACCAAACTGTAACCTTGGTGCTGATGAAGTGTTTCTCTAATTGTCACCATGAACTTATGGTATTCTTTGATTATTATATAAAAAACAGTAAAATCATTTTCGTTCTGTCGCCGAATGTGTTCACACTGCTAATGTCAACTTGGATGAGCTAAGTGATTAAACACTTTATCAAATACTCAAAGTAAAGAGTTCTATGAAAAAATATAGCCTACACGTATAGTGATATAAGAAGTATAGTTTTATCTTAAAGTTATTTTTTCAACAGTGAAATACGACACCTGGTGGCGGTAGTGAGGTGAGAGGAGGGATTTAGATATCTCATCTAGTAAAGCTTCGGTTCTGAACAAAGAGTAAATAAAAAACACTTGTCAACCTTTTGCAAAGTCGTATATTAAAAACATATTCATTCAGTAATGGTTGTATGTATAATAAAATACATAATCGTGTTTATCATACTTGAACACATATTTATCCTAAATATATAAAAGATTCGAACATGAAAAGATATTCCTGTATATTTTGTATTAAAAAAGTAATATTGTTAAAATGTATTTGTTATCGGGCATGAATTCAGTGTGATTAGAGTTGGATGTCATTGCGGTGTCAGCTTTTACATTGTTATGCAAGAATAGATTAGTATAATTTATTCTATACAACATCATATATTATTCAAATTGTCCGAATCATATACTAGATTAACAAGAGAGTGAAACTCTCGTAATGAGAGCTGAACGAGTGTCATGACAATGTTCAAACGGTACATGTTAGCTGCGCACAAACGTGTTTACGTTGGTGTGTAAGTTCTCGTTACCAGACACATCGCTGTATTTTTAACCTGTGAGTCTCTAACACACTTGCGTATATTAAGTATATGTCAGTTGTTTAGACTAGTGTGTAAGTTCTCCTTACCACGTAAACAGCGATATATCTTTAACCTGTGAGTCTCTAACACACTTGCGTATATTAAGTATATGTCAGTTGTTTAGACTAGTGTGTAAGTTCTCCTTACCACGTAAACAGCGATATATCTTTAACCTGTGAATCTCTAACACACTTGCGTATATTAAGTATATGTCAGTTGTTTAGGCTAGTGTGTAAGTTCTCCTTACCACGTAAACAGCGATATATCTTTAACCTGTGAATCTCTATAAATATAAGCGGGAAGTTAAAATAAATATTTGAATGGTTATAATATTGTTAGTTTAATAGACTGTATGGCTAATAATTTGTCTCAGGTAGAAGTGGTGACATTTAAATTCGTTTCTGGTAAACAGAGAAATATATTGTTTTTCAACTTATTGTTACCATTTCATCAGACTTGTTCTATTATGTAACCCGTGTAGCATATGTTATTTATTTATACTTAGTGTTACCATTTCATCAGACTTATTCTATTATGTAACCCGTGTAGCATATGTTATTTATTTATACTTAGTGTTACCATTTCATCAGACTTATTCTATTATGTAACCCGTGTAGCATATGTTATTTATTTATACTTAATTTATTTCGGAAAGGAGAGTTCTAGGAAGAGAGGACAAACTCTTCGTGTCAATATAACAAAAACTCATGAGCAACCAAAAATAACAAGATAAACGAAAATTACAGCAAGACTAATAAAGATGCTGGAAGTATACATTTTTAACACCACAAAGTTTAAAAAGGCATTAAATAAATAAGTTTTTACTTCCAAATAATAATAAAAATACCATGATAGTTTTCTGGATAAACTTAAGATTTCCCATTAAAGGTGAAACATTATAAAGGGTTAAAGAAATGTCACAATTATAAATAATTTGAAAGAGTTCGAATGTTTATTAGGAAAAATATAGATGATCAATTTTCCTTTAAATACATAATATTTGCTTCTATAAAAGGAAATACATTCTTCTAAACTGATAACTTTAAATCACCAACCATCAAGATAGACATCTTACATGTATAACTATAAATTCAACTACAAATAAAGAACTTTGAAGATATTCTAACACAACCTTGTTTAAACATCGATCAACTTACAACATTATGGTGTAATGATCGATCGTTCTTGTAGGTAACTGATACGTCGACTGACAATTTTTTTTCTATTATAAAATGTATTAATTTTCTTAGTGTTTAAAATGTGCTTTAATACAACAGGTAAAGATGACTTGGAGAAGAATACCTTCCCCCCTTGTATCACAGTCACCGATGGCAGAAGTAAGCATGCCTGGACTGTGAATCTGAACGTTCATGGTTCGCGTCCTGTTGCTGCAAAATCAAGTTCCGCATTTTGAAGCCATGGGTATCTTATTGGGTTGGGCAAGAGTTGGTTGGGGCATGTTGGCTATCTTCCTTCCATCTAGTCTATCAGTTCGAAGCCATGGGTATCTTATTGGGTTGGGCAAGAGTTGGCTGGGGTATGTTGGCTATCTTCCTTCCATCTAGTCTATCAGTTCAAAATTATGGATGACTATGCGTCAATAGTCCTTGTGTAGCTTTGCTAAAACAATCACAATAAGGTCCATCAACAGATAACAGTGAAGCTTTATGCTGGGAGTAAATGACCCCATTAATTGCTCATAAGTAATATAAATGTTAAATGTCTATTTAGGTGTTTCTGCCAGCGTAACACGTGTCTTTTCCTGGTTTTTTTACACACACGTACAACTAAAATAAAACATTAGTTATGGAGCTATCAATGGAATGGACAATTTTCATACATGATAACATTGTTTTGTTTTATATACGAACTACAAGAAAAAAATTATTTTATTTCACATATCTTGCGATATTATCAGCTTAACCAGAATATTGATTTTTTTAATAATGTAGCCAACCGTACACTTTACACCCAAGATCCATTTTTATATGAAAGATAAAGTAGCAACGGGTCTGTCATAGACTGGTGGTTTGCGGGTTCGAATCCCGTCACCGAACATGCTCGACGTTTGAGCCGTGGGGGCGTTATAATGTGACGGTAAATCCCACTATTCGTTGAAAAAAAAGTAGCCCAACATTAGGAACAGCTAGCCCAGATAGCCGTCGAGAAACTTTGCGCGAAAATTCAACGAACATAAAAAGCTTTTCTCAGCCCGTTTTGCCAGTTGAAACTAAATTTCTATTCAAATTTGTCGTGTGTTTGTTTCTTACAGATTTTTGCCCAAAGCTACATCTGTTCAAGCTGTCCCTAAGTTTGGAATGATAGACTATATGGAAGGCTGCTGAGCAACAGCACCCACCGCAAACTCTTGGGTTACTATTGTCTAGCCGAATAGTGGAACTTTACCGTAGCTATTTTAGGACATACAAGACTCAAAGCTTTTAGTGTGTTTTTGAGGCAAAGGGGCCGTGAACCCTCGGATGCATGCTAACTATTAGACCACATCTGGCTCAAAACGACCCTAGAAAGATACTTATAAATTTCGCTGTTGTTCTACTGTATAAAGGGGCTCTTCAAAATCTACAATTGTTGGCAAGTGTTTTTTCTTCTTCAACACGATATCCAGAAATAGATAATTCTATCATATCTTTTGTTGCAACATGATAACATTCATGAACAGAAGTACACGGCTTCACAGCATTTCTAATTGACTGTTTAGATCGTAAAGTATATCAGACTATTCATAATAACATATATTATTGGCTCTTTTAGTTAATAATTTGAAGTATAAAGAGAGGAGTTAGCTTATCAAAATTGTTAACTGCGTCAGTATAACGCAATGGTTTACAAGTTAAAAAATATTCATTGTTTTAAGCAACTTAAGATATTTTGAATCATAAAATTATACATACAGGTCGTAAAAGTGACAGTTCTAGAAATTACTTTTAAAATAAAGACGTGGCAGTGCAAGCGCTTTAAAAACGGCGTCCATAGCGAAAGGAACCATGTAACAATTTATTTGTGGTTAAGAACAAAGCTTCACAATGAACTGCCTTTGCTGTGTCCCCTACGGGTTTTTAGCATTATAACCCTTCAGACGTATCGCTAAGCCACTGGAGGGCATGAAGTAGATAAGATCACTACTGATTAATCATGTAACGGTTACATGAACTAGATAGACGCACTTTTACTTAATCATGTGACGTTTACACTAAATAGATAAAATCACAACTGGTGTATCGTGTAACGGTTACAAAGTTCATATATTATGCCCTCTAATGATAAATCCTGTAATGGCTGGTTACGTAAAACAGATGAATGGTTCTATTTCCACAAGTTGATCCATATTGTTTTAATGTCAAATGCCATTAAGACAAGAGATATCCCTGTCTTGGAAATTCGGAACTTCTGATATGAAAACATCGTTATGATCTGAGTTTATGAATATTTTGAGTTAGAAAAGCTGTT